CGAATCGTGCACAGGTCGAAGTCGCACTTCCAAATCAGGTCCGGGAAGCTCCGATCTGTCGTCAGATGATGGAGTGTGCACGTCCCCCGTCGGCATAGGGTGCATCGGACTGACAGAGCCTTGTAGTCCGTGGTGTCCATGGTCTCATCCTTGTTGTCCCCAATGAACACCTGGAACGCTCGGAAGTCCTCCTCCTCGGTCTTGCAGTCCAGCCATTCCTCCGTCTCTTCTTTCATCTGTGGTCTTGACTTGGCTGCAGTCATCTTGCTCTTGGCAGCCAAGATCTTGGAGGAACTCTTTGCCGAAGGCGGTAATGCCGCCCTGAGGATCCGATATTGAAAAAAATCAATCTTACGATTGGTCCCAAATCTTTTTCAATAATATTGAAAATGGCCAACTTGGAAGCCAAAAACATCAATATCGTGATCAATATAATATTGGTCATGATATTGGTCGATATTGGTCAATATTGGTTTCAAATATTGATCATGATATTGATCGTGATATTGATCATGATATTGGTCAATATTGATCGTGGAGATCCTGTGGAGTTCCTGTGGAGATCCTGTGGAGTTCCTGTGGACTTTAGCATCCTGTCGAGATCCTGTGGAGTTCCTGTGGAGATCCTGTGGAGTTCCTGTGGAGTTTAGAATCCTGTGGAGTTCCTTTTGACATTGATATTGGTCTTGATATTGATCGTGATATTGGTTGATATTGATCAGAAATATTGATTATTTTTTCAATCTTCAATATTGAAAAAATCAATCCTACGATTGAAAAAAATCAAGTTCAATATTATTGAAATTTTTTTGCGATATTGATTTTTTTCAATATCGGATCCTCAGGGCGATGTGCTCCCGGCCGATGCTTGTGCACTTTCCGCTTTCTTGGTCTTCGTCTCCAGCTTCTTGGTTGCTGCATCGAAGAAAGCGCACTTGACGTACACCAGGGTGTCGTTCCAGTGTTGCAGATCTTGAAGAGGCGTCAGCGGCATGGTCTGCTCCTGTCCGCACTGATCGCAGCGGTGGTACGAACAGTGCTTGTTCGCTCCATGGGATGTCTTCCCATGAGTGCAGTGTGGAGAGGGTTCCAGCTCTGGGACCAGGTAGCGACCGCGGCCTCGGATGCAAGCTCGTGGACGAACCCTGTCTTCCTGGTGAGGAGTCAGCTTCAAACCGGGGTTGATTGCTCGTGCTGTGCAAGCGAGCAGGCTTGTTGCTCGAGCTGTTCTCGGCGCTTCTGAATTTCTCGAACTCGTCGGAGTTGAGGTTGGCGTGCCACTTCCATCATAGTCTGTTTGGCCACCAAGCCAACGTAGGCATACAGCCGTAAGAGCAAGCGTCGCCACCGGACCCATGGTGGAGAACTCGAAGGCATGCGGAAGAGCGTGCTCCGACAAATGGGCTGTGTCGGAAGTCCACGCTTGGCTGTGGAAGCAGCGGTGATTCGCTGGCACAGTAAAACCAGGTCCAAACTCAACAGTGCTCACTGCAACATGCCCAGTTGGTAACCGAATCATCTTTTGCGTGACCCCCAAAGCCATGTACAAGATGGTGGCATTCTTCATATCGATAACCGCTTGGAGGTCTGACAAGAAGTATGCGGGAATGAGGAAAGGAATATCACCTGGCACAACTTGTACTTTGAGGATTCCAGATTTGCCACCCAAGCCAATAGGGACATAGGCCAGTGATGTATGTTCCTCACTTCCACATACTCCACGAACCATACCACCAGGTTCATGTGACCATTGAACTCGGAGTTGGTGGTGCTGCTGCAACACAGTGTCATGCTGTTTCAACGTTTCTTCTCCAACAAGACCATGCTGTGCGGCTGTGTCAACGAGTGCAATACCAGGAGGTTTGGTGCTATGTAGTGCAAAACAGAAGCTCAAAAACGATGACTGCACACCGTATTCACCACGTTCAGAAGGTGAGCGGTTGGTGAGAAACTCCTGGCCAGCATTTTCAACGGCCATTGGATTCAAGAAAAAGCCAGTGGACATGGTCGAAGCTGCACTTGAGGCTTTCGACGTTGGACTGCGGCCACGCTGGGGGCATTCTCTGCTCCAGTGACCAACTTGTCGACACTGGTGACACCTAGTCTTCGCCTTGAGGTCGGCGATGGAAAGCTTGCTTCCAGACCGTTGCTGCCATGGTCTGTCATAGCCTCGACTCATGCGAGACTGCTGCAGCATTCGGCGGTGCCCAAGCCTTGCCCATAGGTTCTGGCTGAACCTTTACTTTGCCTTTGCCCTTTTTGCCTTTGCCCTTGCCCTTCTGGAAGGCAAGTCGATCACGGGTCTCGAGGAAGATCTCTTCGATGTTGTTGCCAATGGTGTCCAGCTTCAGTTTCATCCATCACCATGGGCAACTCCTGATGAAACACCATTTGTGCTTCCCAGGAATCATTCAAGCACACGAGGTCCGCGAAGAGGTCGTCATCCTCATCAGGCATGGCATATGTTTCAAACTCATGTCGATTCTCCCCAGGCTCATCATCAAAGCCTTCTTCATCCCAAGAGGCTCATCATCAAAGCCTTCTTCATCCCAAAAGGTCGCACTTCTCCAGCGTCGGGGTGCATGTCCATGACCGTGTTGATCTCCTTGGTCATCAAGCTTATCACCAAAGACCTTTTGGATGGCGATCTCAATCTCCTTGTAGTCGATGGAGCCATTCGTGACAACTTTCAATCGCTGCCTTTGATCTTGGGTGAAAGCTCCTTGCCCCAAGATCAAATGTCCAAGCAAATGACGGCCGGCTGCCGTCTCCAACAAGTACAAGCCCCTCTTCTTGAGCTCGGCGAAGGCAGCTTTCTTTCCAGTCAAGAACGAGGTCATGCTGGTGCCTCGGTCTCGACGCCCTTTGAAGATGGCATCATCGAAAGCCTGCTCAAGGCTTTGATCTCGAAGATATTCATGGGCCTCTTCGATGATCTTCACGATCGTGCGGTGACCATCATCCGCACAGATCTCATCCACCGTCAGGTGGCCAAGTAAAGCGCTGAGCTTTGAACCGAGCGGCACGGAGTCGATGATGCGCTTGCCAATGAGGTTGGCGGGAATCCTGGTTTCGGCCTCAACCATCCACAAACGAAGCTTGCGATGGTAGTCTTTGTAATTTTTCTCCGGGAGTTCTCCTCCCCAAACAGGTGCAGGGTCCATGCGGTAGTCGACATGACGACGTTCTGAGGGCTGAGCTTTCTCACTTGCCGCCTTAGGCGTGCCAGTTGCCTTTGGGGTACTTCTTCTTGAAGTCCTCTTCCACGGATCCTCATCCGCGAAAGGATCAGGTAGCTCAGGAAGTTCAGGAGGTCCAACATCGTGTAATGGAAGGCCTTCAGAAGGTCGTTCATGTTCATGACCAGCGTCTGGCGTAGTCGCTGGTGCGGGAGCCGCAGCAGCCGCTGAGGAGGTAGCCGGAGGAGTCGATGATGTAGTCCGGCCAGTCCAGGTCCGCGGTGGTCGCGCCATTGGCAGCCCAAACTCCTACCAACGGAGGTAGGTCAGGTAGAAGATCACCTTGAAGGCGATGAGGTAGGTCGTAGACCTGAAGAAAGGAAGAAAACCTGAGTCCGGTCGACTCGCAGGGTGAAGTTTCCGTCGAAGGTGAAGAGGGCCTTCACAAGGATCAGGATGAAGCCTTCTCAAGCGCCGGGGCGTCACCCGGTCGGAAGGAAGTCGACCGGAGCCAGGATCGTCACCATGGCTCCGCTACCACTGAAGAACTGCGGTATGGCGCAGCGGATGCGGACTTTCGCTCGAAAGCGGCTCAAGGAGTTGGGGTCAAACGGCGGCGGAGGCGACAACCGGTTCAGGGCTCATGTCATGGTCCTTCGTTTCACACGATGTTTTCGTACAAATTACGTTTGTCAGCCGTCTCTCAAACAGCCTCATTATTCATGGGTTTTATGTTCTGGCAGGCAGTAGCCCTACCTTTTCCTATTCATGTTCACCGCATGTTCTCACCATGGGGCTTTTATCACTCATTCATACTGCAGATGCACCTCACCGATACCAAAAGCCTACAAGGAGAAACTAGCTGGTCCAAGAGAAAAAACAAAATGCAAGGGTGCATAGTCGGAATTTGACTGCTCTTGTGCACTAACACGCGAAGAATGTATAGATATGATTGGACATGCAAAACTAAAGTGTTACAGCAGAGTGTTTGGTACACACAATCAACCCACAGGATGGGGAACTAGATGGAATCAGGGTTGTTGTCGGGTCATGGACCAAGGCTGGGATGTGAAGGGATGTGACCGGCTGCTGCCGGACTAGGGCAGACAATAGTGGGGGCCAACGTTCACGCGAAAACTTTGTATTTCACGCAGAAACTTAGTACTTCACGCACATTTCACACGATTTCTCACAATTTCACGCGACTGATTTTGATCCGGCACTTGGGGGAGGATAGATTCAAAAGCCTGGCAGTCATGATTGCTTCTGCAAAAGAAATCCTGGCAACGCGTTGATTGGGTGATTCTCGCATTAGAAGAGGAAGTCTTGCGATCTTCACTTCAGAATGATTCGTCTCTCTTGCAGGGAGGTGTGGCTTAATTGAATTTCCATTTATGATCCTAGGCCTGAACAGGGAACAAAACAAGGTGGACACATTATTCTGAGGACCTGGGTTTGTGGGAGACCGTGCGCCAGTATTCTGTGGTCGCCTTTGTAAATGTCGACAGGAAAAATTGATGTGCGCAAGAAATAGGAGCAGGGTTCAAACTCGTGTCTATGGTCCCAAATGGGCTTTCTGGCAGTGTTTTACGGTCACCAGGACAATTGGGAGCGTCAGGACACAAGCATAGCTGAGCCTAGGGGTGAAACATAGCCTTTGACAAATACGATGTTTCATTGGGTGGAACTTGGTATTTCATAAATACGAAGTTAAACTTCTACTTTGACTATATATATATAATTATATATATCTCCCTCTCTCTGTTTGATGCATCCCACACGGATGGGCCAAAACAAAACCCCTTTGCCACGCCATGCGTCTCAAGGTCTCTGCCACCGACTCATCGTCATCAATGGCCTCCACTGCAGCGTCGACGCATTGCCTCGGCTCCAACCAGAAGATCGTCGATGTTCGGAACACGACCAAACATGGATTCCGTGTTGGGGTTCCACGTCCCCCACAGAAAGGAGTTCATGCGGCCCCCTGTTTTGGACTTCATAGGATTCTGCTTCTGTGTTTTGGTGAATCGGTGATTTTCGAATGTGGTCCCCCGCCTGTTTTTGAAACACACTACTACTTGGCGGCATGCGACCGATGCAGTCCAGGGTGCAGGGATCGGACCAGTTTCACCCGTTCCCTGGCCGGCAATTTCATACCGCCTGGTCGATGCTTCGCCTCAGTGATGTGGCGAAATCGCTCGGACTGAGAAGCAGTGTTTCAGTCCAACCTTGTCTTGAAGAACTGGAACTCCGGGAGGGGACCCCGATGCCATTATGGGTACCCATTTTGGAGCTGTATCATGCCATTAATTTATGCATCTTCCTCTCCCCCTCTCTCTTTCTCTAATGATACCAGCGTCAAGGGAATGTTGTGGCAAAAACATTCAGCCGAGCGGCATTTATTTGTTACTAAACTCAAGTATACCATCCATCGATTTATTTTGTGGGGGGCAATATATCGTTTATGATGGGGCCCTGCCTCGTTCACCAGCGACTACTGACTTTGGACAAACAAATATAGCATTCCGTAGACTACTTTAAAAACCAAAAAAATGGTTGCTCAGCTGAAAACAACCAAATTCATGGAGGAAAATAATTCAAAATGCAATGATTTTCTGTCTCAAGAGTCATTCAATCTTCAACATCACCATTCAAAGACTCCAGCCATGTTGCAGCTTGGAAATCATTGTTCACGATGACAATCAAACTGGTTCCCAAATCCCGTGCCTGTGCACAATGACGAAACAAACCCTTCCTTCGCGCCAAAACAAGGATTCCGGCATCAAACGAACTCTTTGTGACTTGCGATTTCCTGCAACTCGACTGTTTGCAAGGTATCTTGCCTTCTCCAAATACGACACATGCCCATAGTGGAGCGGGTTGAAGTAGCCAGATGCAACGACGACCCGCTTGGTCATGAAAAGTCCTGATCCCGCTGCACTTCTGAACAGTTGGAACTTGGCAGCAGGATGACATCAATTTTGAATGTTCTGAATCTATGCAGCCGAGGGTCTTCGGACTCAAGGTGAGTCCACATAGCAACAGCTGAATTTGGGCCATTCACATCGATCATCTCTTGAATTTAAACGCCGCCCCACCCCCCCCCCGCAAAATAAGAAAGGAACACTCAACACATTCAACCCACGCATGCTGAGATATGCTGAGTAAGACTGTGCAAGGTTGTTGAATCTCTCAACTCCGAGACTTTTTCGGTCGTTGCACTACTCTGTGCTCTCCCAGGGTACCTCCTGCACAAGCACGAAACCGATGTTGGGGAAAACTCAGCTTTGGATTGCTCTGGATCATAACGGTTGCACCCATCAATGACCCAAGGTCGGACACGGGATTTCTGGAAGATTTTTTGGCAACTCCATCTTTTTGGTGAGCCGTCTCCTCCTCCTCCTCCTTTTTGGCTGTCATCACTGCTTCCGCTTCCGCTGGCTCGGCCTGGAAGCAACGGTCTCCATCCAATTCCACCAAGGCTATCAACGGACATCTGTCTGGAACTCACGGCAAAATCACTGATAGGTTGAGCTCTTTGCCGCAGTCCACGAGCTCCTGCCGCGGCGGACTGCTGCGGACAAGACTGCCAAATCGCTTTGCTGGTCCCCTGATTCTTGATTGCTGGCTGGGATGCTGGGATGACATCGCCAACTGGTGATTCTGAAGGGCTCTTGTTTGCACACAGCAGTTGCATGACAGTGGAAGGCAACGTCGACCAGTCAAACCTTTCTACCGTTCACAAAGGAAAGCCTCTTGCCACACACGAAATCATTTAATACATGCATCATCATGCATCATGCATATGTGCATATTATGTATATATATATATCAATATCCATTTATGTATTCCAAAACAAACATGCCCGGGGTTGGAAAGGGAGTGTGCAGCTGGCAAATGCGTCGAAACAATTCGATCAACAACCAGGGTACTACAGTAACAATGTACCACATGCTGCGCCAACCTTGCACTCCACCAGTGAGTAACACTATCCACCACCCAGCCAGCAAGAGATGCGCTTGATTTTGGAGGGTTTCTGCTGGTCACCTTCAGCATCCTTCAGCAGTTCTCCCTCGAGAACAGTAGGCCCACGCGGGGTGGTGTTCCGGCCTTTGTATCCCTTGCCAGAGCGTATGTCGGAAGACAGCAGCCTCCAACACATCGATGGCCTCACTGCAGGGTGTGACGCCATTGCACGGCTGGTGCAAGTCATTAGCAACGATCAAAGAGTTTGTATACAAAACAGTGGCACCTCTGAAGAGTTCAAGAGCAAAGTCTTGAACTGTTCCGCCAAAGCTTTCTCCGTTTCCTGGCGCAGGGAAAGAATGAAAAAGCCAAGCTGACCAAGCTCTACTGTCTATGGGTCCATGTGTGTTTTCTCGTGTGGCACCTCGTGGCACCAGTGCAAAACAAACAATGAACTGTTTGTGGCTGGGGCCTAAGTGGACAAAGCTCTGCCGGACCAATTGTCCAACCTCTTCAGAATCTGAATCTGCATTCGCCGTATGCGCCACCTGAACTCAGTGCAAATCAACAGCTCGCGTTGCGATCGCTACTCACAGTGAAAGCACCTAGCGGTGAGTCATGCAATCCATGCGGCAAATCATTCACATACCCAGTTGACCCATCCATTCGGCAATTATATAATTTGTCCATGGAAATTCCATTTGTCCATGGAATTCGGCAATTAATTTGTCAATTTGTCCATTTCACTTACAGTTGAACAATCTCTCACCCTTCTCTTCCCGGTGCCACGCTCTCAAACTCTGTGCCCCCACGTAAATAGCTGTGGCATTGAGCAAGCCCCCCCGTTGAACAAACGTAGGTACATATAACATAACATATATATGTTTGCTTACATATAATCTAAAGGACACTAACTTGAAATCAAACCCCTGAAAATGCGGCAAATACAATGCTCCCATTCTTGTCCCTCCAGGTTCCTGAAACTGGAAACCACCTGCGACTCACAAAGCTACCAGCTACCGATTTGTAAACTGTAAAGGGATGTAAAGGGAAGCTTTTTTTTGAGGAGCCAATGCCCACTTCCCATGGGAACTTCCCACAGACACGGCCTGCGCCAAATCACTCACCTCCTCATTGTTCGAAAGCTCTTCTTTGGCCTCCCAAATGTCCTCCTGGCGATCGCAGGGTCGATGCCGGAGCCTCCTCCACTGGGGCACAAACGTGGTCAACATACAAAAAACTACATGCTGCATGCCCCACACATGAATAACTAAAAGCACACAAAGCAACCTGGGACCAAAAGCGATTCAAGGAATGACTAATTATCTCAGGAATGGATGACTGTATATGTGGAAGGTTGCAGCAGGCCAAGCTAGCTCAAGCACCTTTCTAGTCTGCCGATCTACAGCTGTCCATCCTGAGAAGGCATTCAGAAATGAGAGGCTTTGCCTGTAATGCAGGCCTTCAGATGCTTTGCCAGGGTGCAGGTCTGAAGCACCCGCACATGCACGCAAAGGCTTAACCCAAACGAGAAAAGCATTTGCTGTCGCATTCTGCATCTTTATCCCAGTCTTCGCACATATCTTCAGACTATAGACTCAAAAGGGCAACATCCTTGTAAGGGTGGTGTTTCATGGTCCACCACGGCGCCAATGGGCACGTGAACCGGTCTCCGCAGTACGGTGCTGCGCTCAGCCTAGGACGCGCAGTGTTGAAGCCATTGGGGAGATGCCTCACAACGTTGGAGTTCAGAGACCTGGGACGACGAAATAAATCGAGGTCAAAGCCTTCGAAAGCCATTGCCGATCAGCGGGCAGAGCGGACTATATACATCCTGTATCATCCTGTTCCATCCTTTTGATGTTTGTGTTTAGTTCTCTTTGGGCGGGATGTTGTAGGGTTGGGATTCGTGGAGCTCCGTTTGATGGACCTGTTCAGATTATTTCTATAGTTCTTAATCTGGCGCACGTGGTTTGGGATAGCTTTTGTTGCTTCTTCCCATGGTGTCGTTACACCGCATTCTATTCTGAAATAAACCTTCCCATGGTTAGCTTTGCCCAATCAAAACGGGGGACGTGACAGGGACTCGAAGCATCTCGGGCACTTTTGTCAAAATCTTATGTATAAATGATCTCAAACAAGTCGTATGATTCATTTAGACTGGCATCGCTATTTGGAACCGGTATGAAAAACCGAAGACCACCTTCCAAACTCGCGAAAAAATGACTTCCTATCTCTATACCAGCCTGTTTCTCCATCCCTCCTTCCGCCACGGGTCCTTGTTTTAGCTAGCGCCACTGTTAGCGACCCCAGGAGAAAACGCTGTTTTCTCTGCGTGATCTTCACTTGCATGTCATGCGTGCATGGGGTGGGGTGGGGTGGGGTAGGGTGATGTTAATGTAACGTTCGAATGAAGTTGCACACGGACTTGATGCTACGCTTTGGATGGGGTGGGGATGGGGTTGGGGTGGGGT